TAAAAAATTTCATCCAAAAATTAAAAAAAAAAAAATTAATGGCGATCAACCCTTATCGCTTAGGGGTATGGAAGAAAATATATAGTAACCGATCCTCAGACATACTGAATACGCATATAAAATTTGGTAAAAATCGGTAAAGCCGTTTCAGAGGAGTACGGTAACCCACATTGTCACATGATAATTTTATATACTAGATATACATATACGTTCAAAAAAATGTACAGTTCAAAGTGCAGTGACACCAAGTATAAATAATATACATACATATCTTAAAAAAAGTGACACATAAATCTACGTACATGCATGCATATACATAAATGACATAACGAAAAGTGTGGTGATAATTATACATACTAAAACAAACAATTTATATGTGCACAAAATTGTGATTAAAAAACAAAAAAAAAGGTATTATGTATTAACCAAAAGGCACACTCAAAAACAAATTACTAAACTACGGGCGCGGCAAAAAGGAATTAATAAATATAAGAACCTAAATACAAATAAAACAAGAAAAAACCTTAACTACGGCTGAGCCGAAGCCAATATTCCCATCACAGGGTCTCCGACGCTTCCTTATGGGTGTTACAAACTTCGTGGCAAACTTAATATACTCCGTTCAGGGTATAACAAAAGTAAGAAAGAACCATCACACACAGCGCATTGGAACGCCAATGTGGGAAAGACTTGCTAAACAACATACACCTTTTCCCATAATTTAAATTTCAAAGTCCCTGAGGAAAATCAGAGCGAGTGTATCAATTCCACCTTTGATTTTTATTATTATATTGTGTACTAGCTGATCCCGCAGCCGTTTCCTGCGTGAAACTATACGACTATCCTTGTATCCTGTTTATTGTCATCTCAAATACAATTTGCACTGGAAACGGAATGCCTTTGAACTGAAATGGCAAACCGTTAGAACTCAAAGGAATTCGTAGAATCAATCATTAATCCCCCTTGTATTCGCTAGGTGCAACACAATCAGTCCGGTTCCATTACACAGTTTCGGCGCATTGCGAAACATAATAACGACAGATCCAACTTTAGAAAATCCGCTGGATAATTCACGGCGTCGTCTTCATTGTCGAGACGATCGATCGATTTGTATGAGCGCAAGTCTCCTGGAATTTCACTTTGAATCTTCCAATTTAAGTCAACAACATCGGTATTTTTGGAAGCTAAGATTGCGTGTGCACTTAAAGTATCGTAGTTACAATAATTTTTCCAATGTTCGTACATTCGTGATGAGTTCGTCTTTCGTGAGTTGATAAACAGCAGATGGAATTGATATCAAACCACCGGAAGTATCAACCGGAATTGACCCATACCCGGACCGTATGCTTAGCAAAGTTTATCTCCATTGGAGCAAAGTGTGGATGAGCTTCTTCACCTTCAGGCGGCTGTAAATCCTACAGGCTTCGCGTATGGCTCTAATGAAGTAGAAACTGCGGTAAATACTAGTGTAATTCAGCCAGAAGAGCGTACGACCGAGGAAACACAACGAGCCATGGATTTGGCATCGCAATCCTCAAGCAGCCGTCCTAGAATGACAGTAGAGGAACGTGAAATCATTCTGATGAAAGCGTTGGAAAAGCAAGCCGAAGTTCAAGACACCCTTTCCAACAAAATTGCAAAAATGGAAAGAAAAATAGATGAAATTGCAAGGTATGCAAGAAACACATATGAACTGAAACAGGAAGAAATTAAATTAATGAAAATGAAAGAAGAAACGAAGAAGGATGAAAATTTAGAGAAAAAAGACATAAAGAACAGATGGAAATAAAACTACAAATTTTAAAATGAAAAATGCAAAAATAAAATTGGGTGTTTGTAAATAGATTGAATTTAGTTTATAGTTTATGTCTAAAGAATGTGATGATTTTTTTTTTTATTTCATATTTTAACCGAACTTGAAATTCAGATTTTTTTAAGAAAACATATTATGAATTTATTTTTACTTTATTATTGTAAGTGACGGAATTGAATCTGTGATTTTTTTAATTTAATTTAAAAGCATGTAGTTTTTGTAAGTTTTATATATTTATTATCTATGTAATATTGAATTTCAAAGTATTGAATAAAATAAAGAATACAACATATTATTCACTGAAGTCGGTACCGCCGTCAAAGAAATGCGATGGACGGGACAAGGACAGAGACGAGTAGGTCCTTGTGGCATTTACTACAGTGGTCATATAAAGGAGTGCAAGTTTGGTGTGGGATTCGTGGTGGGAGAGAGACTCCGTCGCCGAGTACTATCATTCACCSCGGTGAATGAACGTCTAGCCACAATCCGCATCAAAGCGAGGTTCTTCAACATATCGCTGATTTGCGTCCACGCATCGACGGAAGAGAAGAATGATGTGACTAAAGATGAATTTTATGAGCGCTTGGAAAGCACTTATGTGGGAGCATTATGCACATACAATTTACAATACCGTAGTTCGTTAGTACAATTGAGTCTGTGCTCTTATATATGAGTAACTAAACTTAAAATAACCTAATAACTAATAAGGTGTAACGTTAGTTGACCCAACATCCCGGCCCCGTTGAAAGGACTTTCAAACAGGTAAAACTGCAATTTTGTGGATTGAGCGACGAATTATACCCTTTGAATTTCGCACATGAACTACTCTGACTCGTGCATCATTTCCTGGGATAGCATCTATGACACGACCAATTAGCCATCGTTGCGGTGGTACATTGTCCTCATGGATAAGGACCATTGCGTTCTTACCAACATTTCCATGGTCAGTGTTCCACTTTGTTCTCRCTTGCAGATCGCTTATATAGTCGTGTGACCAACGTTACCAGAATATTTGTTTGAGGGCAGTTATTTGTTTCCATTTGTTGACTTGATTGACGTTGTCAACTACTGCTCCCTCCGGAAGACTCTTTAACGCACTACCAGTTAAGAAGTGACCTGGAGTCAAAGGTTCGTTGTCGCTGGGGTCAGACAAAAGTGGGGATAGAGGCCGAGAATTAAAACTGCTTCTATTTCTACCAAGACTGTAGTAAGTTTTCGTATGTTAATTTGGTATTCATAACGCTACGATTCAAATTCCCTTTGGCTGATTTATCTGCGGCCTCCCAAATGTCACCTAAATGAGGTGCGCTAGGAGGGATAAAATGAAAATTGATAAATTGATTAGCGCAATAATTTATGATGACATCTTTGGTTTCTTTCTTGAAAAGTTTGCTGCAAGCTCCAACGAAATTAGTTGCATTATCAGAATAAATATCTGATGGAAGACCTCTTCTTCCAATCATTCGTTTGAGTGATGCCAAAAATGCATCTGTGGATAAGTCAAAAGCGAAGCAAACAAATATGGCAACATAATCTTTATAGCGTACCTTGCCCCTGATGCGAAGATAGATGTTGACAGGTCCACAGGAATCGACGCCGCAACGAGAGAATGAGCGCGTTGGTGTTAACTGCTCAACGGGAAGATTACCCATCATATGTTGAAGCTATTTTGGTCTGTAATAAACGCATGGAATACATGATCGGACAATACGTCTAGTGAGATCTCGAGCATTGACGATCCAGAATTGTAAACGAATTACAGCCACCAACGCTTAAGGGCCGGCATGGTAGTTTTTAATATGTTAATATTGAACATATCGCGTAACAAGTCCACATTTACTTGGTAGTAAAATAGGACGTTTCTGGCTTTCTGGAAGATTGGCCAATTCAAGTCTACCTCGAACCCTTAGTAGTTCAAATCCTTGAGCTGTTTCCAAGAACAGATTCAAATTTCGTAGTATGCCATTTATCATTTTATTTGGCTGCAACAATCAAATGTCTGCAGCGTAATGCTGTTGTTGAACGTTCCCAGCAATACATAGCAAAGAGCGACGGAGTAAGTGGTCAATCCACCATTTTCGTGTTATGTTTTTTAAGTCTAGTGTAAAAACGTAGCATCAAAGAAACAATCCGCACTTCATGAGTATGAGTACTGTACCTTCAAGAAGATAATTATGGTTTATAGTTATTTTAAATACTGATTTACGCATTTCTGCAGTAAGAGCGAAGCGATGTAAACGAAAACAAAGCAAGGTAACTGCAAGTTCGCTTTGAATTGTACGTCCAACTATTTGAATGTCATTTATCGATTTATGCGTAGTTGTTCGACAAGATGCATCAAATACAGCTCTCAATTTCGTCGTASTGCTATTTGGTTTCAAAACGCAGTGATGAGGGATATAGTAGTGAGGTTCCTCCAACTTTGGATTGGGTAGTATTTCCATGTGGCCTAGACTCTCATATTCATCCATGAAGGCTACGTATCCTTTCTTGATCATAGGGGACTGTTGCACTCGGCGTTCTAGTGCATTAAATCGTCGCAAAGCTGTATTATAAGATTCACACAGGTAAGAAGGGTCATCTTTGGACGGGATGTTCACTGTGATCCTACCGTTAGGACTTCGGATACGGTGTTATTATATAAACTTTCGAAGCTAAGCTGTTCGAGTGTCCAAATAAGGTATCTTTGGCAGTACGGTCGGTAAATTCAGCATCCACGAGGAAACATAGCCAAATGTGTTGAGTCTTATCGACTTCGCCGGGGCCCGAAATATGGTTATTTGTATTACAAGATTCCGGCATAAGAAGATACACCAAGGTACCTGGCCCGAAATATGGTTATTTGTAGTACAAGATTCCGAAATCGAAAAACCACCAGCCAGATCGATCATGTTTTAATAGACGGAAGACACGTCTCCAGTGTTTTAGATGTACATGCACTCCGAGGTCTTAAAATCGACTCGGACCACTATCTTGTTGCAGCCAAGATTCGCACGCACAAGGAAGTTTCGACGTCCAGAAACTGCAATCACAACAGAAAGCCGAACCATTTTCTACTCGGCTTGCCCTCCTGCTCTCTGAGAGCACTCGTCAACAACTCGATAGGAACTGTGGGACGGCATTTCAAACTACTTACGTAGAGCTGCAACCGAAACCATTGGTTTTCGGAAAGTCCAAAGAACAGCTTTTACGACGAGGAGTGCCGTATCGTAGCGGACACTCCCCACCTCTTCGTCGATTTCAAAGYTGCTTTCGAAAGCATGAAAAGGAGCTGCCTTTATGCCGCGATGTCTGAATTTGGTATCCCCGCAAAACTTATATGGCTGTGTAAGCTGACGTTGACCAGCACCAAAAGCTCCGCCAGAATCGGGAAGGACCTCTCCGAGATCGTGCGACTTTTTCAACCTGCTTCTGGAGAACATAGTTCGAGCTGCAGAACTAAATAGAGAAGGTACCATCTTCTATAAGAGGGTACAGCTGCTGGCGAATGCCGATGACATTGATATCATTGGCCTCAACACCCGCGCCGTTAGTTCTGATTTCTCCAGACTGTACAAGGAAGCAAAGCAGATGGGTCCGGCAGTGATCGAGGGTAAGACGAAAT